AGGAACAACATCTTTATTGGTGAAGACATTGTTATTCTTTTGGATCATGTGACCATTGTCTGGTCTTGCATACTCTGGGTAGCCATCATCCTTCAAGGATGTCTGATGACAGAAAGACTTTGAAAAGTGCTTTTTGCACTGTCCATTCTCCAAGCAACGCTCTGGACTGCATGGGCCATGAAGCATGTATTTTGATACAGCTTCATAGAGTTGTGGGTGCGCATCTCTATCTGGTATCTGAGCAGAGATAAAGGAGTTGATCTGCTCTACAGTGCGTATCTTGTGATCTGAGTCGAGGAAGATGAGAAGGTGCATGTGGGGCAGACCACGCTTTTGATATTCGATGGTGTACACCAATCCTGCAACCTTCCCATAGTAGCCCTTGCGAACCTTCTTCAAGAGCGCTTGTTGCTTTTGGTAGAAGATGCGAGCCACCAAGTTTGGACGATCCACAGTGCTCTGACCTACATAAGCAACATTAGCAACAACATCATAAATCAATTATTAAAATTTACCTGGAAGGAGGTTTTCAGTGATCTCAGGCCAACTCCCATTTGCAGTCATTGTTAGGAAGAGGTCAGGCTTCTTGCAGGCACGGCAAATGGCCAAGGAATCCTGAAGCAACTGGTGCATATAGCGGGGCTTCCAGTATGTGATGATGGAAGAATGATTGCACGACCTGTCTGAGCCAGATCATCTGTGCCATCATTAAGGATGTTGTCTGCCAGGCCTCGGTAGCAGTCCGCCCTAAGCTTTTTTTGGTTTTTGGTGACCCAATTCAGATTGCTCTGTTCGATGGAAGCCCAAGCATCAACGATATACTGCTGGAACAGTCTTCCACCACGAAAGATGTTGTTGTTATCAATATGGATGGGGCGGGGGTGAAGACGGAAGGCATAGTATAACAGCTGGGTCACTTCTTTTGAACGTGTACGTCCGCCTTGAGGGATGTTGAGAGGTATTCCAAGGTGCCAGCCCTCCTCGCCAGAAGGAAAGAGAAGGACATAGTGAAGGGTCGAGTATGCATGGCTGAGCTGACTGATGTGTCGCAGCTGACCACCTTGAAGTCGCAAGACAATATCTCGTTTGTCGGATACCTCCTCAGATCCATCTCCAGGAATGATCACAGCAATTTCATCAGCAGTGGGAAGATTATATCTTTGACCATCTGTGCCCTGCTGAAAGTGAATGCGTGCACGAACTTCTGTGTGCTGCTCTGGAGGCTTCTCGCTCATAACTTGATAGGCCTGCTTATAAAGAGCCGCATAGGGATGATTTCGATAAATCATATCATGGAGGTCTCTGAGAATATGACAATCAAGGCTTTCGTTTCCTGGTTGGTTGGCGTGGATGTCAGTGGCACATTTGGGATCATAAATGTAGATTTGAGCATATGAAGGCTGAATACCTTCAGGGGGAATCAGGCTGCCCATAAGGTGGTGAAGAGATCCATGGATACGAAAAGCATTTGGGCCAGAGCCTTGAAGGGCCCTATCCTCGATGGTGACGCCTACAGATGTGAATGCAAGAGCACTGTTGTACTGGCGAATCTTGGAGACAAATGTTCTGTCTCCATATGCCTGTTGCAGCTCGAGTGGCCATGCTGGAAAGGGAGGAAGGTCGACTTTTCCCTCAAAGCAGCACGTACCAAACCGTGGATTTTGTGCAGATGATTTGGTGAGTCTTTCACATGCAAAATGCATGGCATGGCAGTTGGGGCACTCCACATTAAGAGGACCAAGAGTGTGACGATCAATGGGCTCTGTGTATGGTCGAGCTCCATCTGGGATAGGAATATTTCGGACAGGCGCCTGGTTGATATTTTCATCATCCTCTGCATCACGCTGCTGGCGACATTCTTGCTCCTGAGTTCTTCTTCTTTCCTCGTCGTCTTCATGCTGCTGCTGAGAAGCAGGATTATCATATTTGTGCAATGCCTCTTCAAGACGCTCCTGTTGCTCACAATCCCTCTGCTCCTGGCGGTGTTGTTCCTCTTCTGCCTCTTGACCTGCACGCTGTTACAGTAACATGGCACGAGTCCCCCGCCAGCAGAGAGCCCTCTGCCACTCGCACGGCTATAGACGATACCAGAGCCTCACCAGCTCTATAGACGATACCGGAGCATCACTGGCTCTGTGACGACAGATGATGACAGATGACGATAGACGATAAGCGGCAACTGCCGGCTTAGATAAGCGGTCTGGACCGCACGTGACGATACATGACGACATAGGTCTAGAAGACCTATTAAACATTATCAAGATAGAAGGCGAGCATCGTGCCGCCTTGAGGATGATAGAAGGCAAGCCTCGTGTTGCCTCATGGACTGATAGAAGATAGAAGGCAAGCCACGCGCTGCCTCATGTACTGATAGAAGGATACCACGTGGATCCTATCTATGATGGAAGCGTACCGCATGGACGCTATCTACGATAGAAGCCCGCCTCATGGACGCTATCTCTGACTCATGTAGATAAGCAGATTAGAACCCAGCTTTAGGCTGAGCTTAGATACGAAGAGTAGCCTTATATAAAGGTCGAAGATTACAAGTAGACGTTCCTTACTTTAATCTTACTAGGTTTACCCTTGAACTCCTTGTCCCACTAAAGCTACCTGCTCGACATCGACTCGTACCTTCAGTGACGCCTCTCACTGTCTGTAAACCCTGCTATCATCTCAGCGTAACCCCTCGTTAACCACCACGAGCTACGTTCGAGTACGCAACCTTTGCTTGTCTGTAAAGGCCGACGACTCTCAGCACTTGGTACCACTGTCGTGGTTGTCGCTGTTAGATTATCCTAGTCGCACACGACCGCTTGTCGTAACACACGCAGAATATCATAAGCTTGTCTATTGGCATTCTCAGCTTCCTGTTGCTGCAATCGCTGCTGCATCTGAAGTCGCTCAGCTTCCTGCTGCTGCCATTGCTGCTGCCATTGCTGCTGTAATTGCTGTTGCATCTGCAGTTGCTCAGCTTCCTGTTGCTGCAATCACTGCTGTATCTGCAGTCGCTCAGCTTCCTGCTGCTGCAATTGCAGCTGAATCTGCTGTCGATGAAATTCCTCCTGCACTTGTCTTTGAAGCAAGTCATTTCTGATGCGCTCATTTTCCATTTGCTCTACCTGCCAATGTTGTTGAAATTGAGCGTTAAACTGCCGATAATCAGGTTGAGGTGGTCCATGTAAAGGTTGTGCAGGATTGGGCGCAAAGTAGTGCAGGGGATTGTCGACATTGTGAGGACCAACTGCACCCTCATAATGAATAGGGCCATATATAGGAGGAGCAGGAGGAGCAGGTTGATTAGGAATGTGAGGTACCTGTGGAGGCTGCATCCCGGCTGCCTCTGCTTGTGCTTGCTGTCTTATCTCATTTCTGTCCTGTCGCCGGTGAAGATCGCACTGATGGCGTCTGTCATTTTGAGCTGCATTCACTCACTCATTCAAGCGTGCATTGTAATCAACCAGAGGAGGACGATGAGCACGCTGCACATGTGCAATCACATTTCGTGGCAAGCCAGGATATTGCGCAACTGGAAGTGGCTCATATTGAAAGTGAGGGGGAGGTTGCCAAGCAAAAGGTCATGGAACAGGTCCTGCTTGTGGCTCATTAGCTGGCATAAAATTTGGCTGTGGTGCAGGAGGCAGAGGCCTGTCCTGATTATCATGGGCAGCACGACGACGATTACGTCTGGTAGGAGAAGTCATTTGAAGTCGATTGAGTCTGTCTTGTTCACGTTGGGAGTGTCGATCACGTTCTGGCGTGATTTGTTCTTGATTGCTAATGTGCAGATATGAGCATCATGCACCTTGCACATAGCAATATATATATCAGCAACTCACAGAATAGGTATATATCCATCCATGGTTGTTAAATTCAAACAGTCGTTTAGCAAGTGCAAAATTTGTCTAAACTCATCAATTAGTCATTTCTATTATCATTGATAAGAAATAACACCCACCAAAAGTGTATCACACTTTATTACACTTGGCTGCAGGGAAAGGCAGTTTAACTTGAGAATTCTATTCAAAAGCAGCAGCCAAGTTGTGTAATGATTTGTGTAACCAAAAGTGTAATCAAATTTCTATTATTGCTTTTGATATTCTCGATGCCTCTCCCATATAGTAGGAAAAGTCTGTTGTTTGTCCGTTGCGTTCCCACGGCGCAGTAGGCATGAGGATTACTGTCCACTATATCGTGTTTGGCAGTATTTTCGGACTTGTAAAAATTTCACTCAATTTGTTCGTTTACACTCTTCTTACTTAGTCTTAGTCTTAGTCTTAGCGAGTCCATGCGAGAAAACCACGCGAGTTTCCAAAAAGAGGTTTAAGCGAGGTAAGCGACGCAAGCGAATCTAAGCGCATCTAAGTGTATCTATGTGAAAGCCACGCGAGCTGGCGACTCCTCCCGAAACCGTCGCACTTTACTTCTTAGATTGAATCCTTCAAGTTTGTCTATCTTACCTTCAGGCGTCCTGACCTCAGACGGCTTGTCAAACAAAGCGTTAAGTTGTAATTGGTGACGCTCAGGCCAGACGAGCGGATCAGAAGGCATGAGAGGCCAGGATTCGAGTGGTATTGTTAAAATCGGAAGTCCGAGTACGGTGTCAACAAAGAAAGGGAAACCAATACTCACTGAGTACTGAGTAACGGTGTTTGTCGGCCGAGTCGGGGATTGGCGCACGCGCCGCTACGATATTAATAATGACCGGTCTGACCCGTGACCATTTAAAAGCACCGCAACCTAGTGCTTAGTAATTTGAAATAGGTTCAAACATCCAAGTTAACGTTTGCGCAATCAGAAAGTCCACACGTTCGTTATGTTCTTATTTTACCCAATCTCCCGTAGCGCGGCTGCTTCAAGCTACTGATATCAAGCTATGCGAGGTTCATTATGCATACACGCTGCGACATGCATGATCGACCAGCCAACATTCGGCGGCTTCGACAATATTAATACTGTTGGCTTTCCCGAGCTTTGAGGACGTACGAACTAACTAGTACAGGATTTCACTTGTGGAAACGGTGTTCGGGATTTACCTGACGCTTGTCTCCTGGCTTACAGGTGTTCTCCGACTTTGGCCCACTTGACTTTAGCCTACTTAGTATTCTTTCACCATCAGGAAAGAGAGACAGATGAATGCACACGCAGGAGAATTCGACCACCAGGACACTCGTCGTTTCAAACATACCCGCATCGGTATATGGGATCTCTACGAGGAACGCCAATCACGCATACGAATCTCACCAATATCGAAGATATATGCGCCGATAATCTACAACGTTCCACTTCTAGTTCGCATGTTCAAGGATGTACTCAGCATCAGACGATGCTCCATTCTTCTCCCCGCATACCTTGTAGTAGAAGTTTTAGCTTCCCTCATACCCGCTGTTTCTCTGTGGTACGTCATAATGATGCGACTTCCCTATACATCCATAACGTCGTCGCGCAGGTACTCCGGACAATTGCTCCGCCTTGTAATATCCCTTCACTTTCATCTACCACTGCCAACTTATTTTGCACTAGGTAGAGAGCGTAATGGAAGCACGTACTGTGGACACAACGGTGCTCGTACATTTTGCGGCAGCACATACCATATGCGCAGTTGCTGTGCGCTTTCTCAGATACTCCCGAGACTGCATGATACCTCGTCTGAGCTTGTACATCAAACAATCCTACAATGAACGCATGCTCCTCTCAGCCTCTCGCCTCGACCTGCCCGCATTTGAAACACTTTATGACTCGTACACAGTGCAGGAGCTCAGCTGTGGCTTGGCTCATTGGTATACTTCGTCAATTTGGGACACTATCGAGATGTTGACGGACATCGCAATGATACTTATTCGTCTGCTCTCTCACCTTTTGGTTCTGAGTACAGTCATGTGGGAACAACAGGATGGTCTACTTCTCGTGGTTCTCAGTTTTTTGCAATATTTATTGTCCTGGGACAGCACGGGAAAAACAATGGTCGGATCCTTGGGTATGTCAACAGCTGATGCTTCTAAGCCTTTATTTAACCCAGATACGTAGTTTGGGCCGCGACAACGACCAACGAGAATTTGATTTGCATGCAAGGTCTGAAGGGACTCATTACTGGGCCCTCACACCGTCGAGAGTTTGTCGCAGGCAACTTCAGCGAACACATTAGTGCACGTATGTCGACGCGCCTTACCGGACAATCATATGCTGACCTGATCGAGACCAGGATTTCGCGAAGCATCTCAGCGCATTGGTCACGATGCGGTTGAATTCCCAGAACTGAAACGATTTCGTTCTTTTAAGGACTGTCTGAGCATCACATTCATCATCCGAGAAACAATGCATGTGTTACCCCAGGTACGTGGAGTTGACTTCAGAGTTGACAAAGACGACTAAGTCAATTAGATTGTCTTCTCCTTGCGCGTAGTGATAAATCCAATGACCACTCCAGTCTCCTTGGCATCACTCATATGGATCAAACAAGTCTTTGATCCATCATATTTCTCGATATCCAGCATGTTTTCCACTCTTGCGACCAACTTGACCCGAATACGCGATGTTTATGAGATAGAGAATACACGAAATCAGGTTGTGGATGGCACGGAACCGTTCCCCGAGAATCAACAATCTCTTGCAAATGGCATTTCTGTTGAATTCAAGTTGATTGGTATTCCTTACTTCATAGAATTATTTCTAATGCATATATGTCAGGAATGTTTCGTTCCGGTACCCTGGTCGAGACAGGTGTGCTCTGCGGAATGTATCGTTCAAGATTGAGGCTGGTCAGCTATGCGTAAGTTCATCTACTTCTATGGTGCTATCTAATCACAATAGCAGGTTGTCGTTGGTGTGAACGGCTCTGGAAAGAGTACGATCTTGAACCTGATCTCCCGCGTCTACGACCCAACGGAAGGCACCATCCTTATCGACGACCGTGACATCAAAACCTTGAAACTTGCTGACCTCCGTGCTGCTATGTCCATCCTCTTCCAAGACTATTCGCAATTCCCCCTCTCCGTAAGCCATACTCGTGCAACCTGGAAGTGACGTATTCTAACGTACACGCAGATGCACGAGAATATCGGGCTTGGTAACCCTGCCCTTGCACATGAGGATGACAAGGTTCGCGAAGCCGCCCGTCTCGGCGGCGCAGAAGACTTCATTGACGAGCTCCCTGATGGATTTGATACCTATCTCAACCGCGTCGTGGATAATTACCATGGAGACCTTCCTGAAGGTACTACGACGCTCTTCGGGCATCCCGCTGACTCCTCGTCACGGAATGTCATTGGCGGTGTCCATGTCACCGGAGCTCCAGGCATTCAAATTAGCCGCGGGCAGGCGCAGCGGCTTGCAATGTACGTGACCATACCTTGACTTCTCAGGTCTTGACATGGACTATTCAAATAGCTCCCGCACATTCATGCGGTCGTTGGTCTCTGAAACTGAGTCTTCTGCTGGCATGATGTTATTCGACGAGCCGAGTGCCTCCCTAGATCCTACGGCTGAACATGGTGCGCTCTCTTGTTTCTTCGAGATGCCAATTTAGATGTAGTCATGACTGATGGAAATAGATCTCTTTGAGCGTCTACGGAAGTTGAGGGGCAATAAGACCATGATATTCTCCACTCACCGGTTTGGAAATCTCACCCAATATGCGGACCTCATTTTGTGAGTTTCTGTCTGCTCGAACACCAATGCTTGCTGACGTGGTCGCCGCAGGTACATCGACGAAACTGTCCAGGAAAAAGGAACGCATGATGAACTCATGAAGAAAGAGGGAGAGTATGCTCGTATTTGGAATATTCAAGCGAAATCATTCACTCAATAACCAGATACCGAGACCACAACAATACACCAAAATATTCTGTACCACTGATTCTCATGCATATGTTCAATTTCAGTCACGTAGGTGATGACAGGTGCCATCAGACAACTGATGTATTCTTCCTTGCTATTGTCCCGTCTACTCGGCTCAATTCACTTGCCCCATACTCTCTAAAGTCTGAGTCGAAGACGAACGAACATCTATGCTCAATCGGTGACCTCTTGCACCGTCTTCACGAGCTCTGGGTGCTCTGAGCCTGCATTTTTCAGTCTTTGGACTTCATGTCGTATTGGTCACTTCGTCCTCATAATGACTTCGCAAGTCTGCAGTTCTATTTTAATGCAGTCCATTTCCATGCTCTTAGTGTCTTTGAACTGGGTAGCATGACTCATGAGCATCTACTAATGCTAAGTCAGGGTAATATTGTCAGTACGAGACGTATAAGAAGGCCAAGCACATATCCAGTCAACCGAATGACCTGCCATGAACTAACATGTTTTTATAAACAGGTGGTCCATAGTGCGCGAAGTCGCTATGAGCGGAGTACCGGCAAGAGGAATCAAAGATATACAAGTTTACGCTCAATACGCGTGAAATAGCTGGCCAAGTAAAAGGCGAGAAATACAAGCCCTGCAAAGAACACATGAAACCAAACATATCAACAAAGAGAGATACTGTCGACGTACTGCCGGAGCGACTGATGAAACTTTTCCGTCCATCTCCTTCCCTAGTGTCTTTGATACAGCTCTGCGCATTCACCTGACAAAGTAGATCAATAAACTCATGTATGTCGCGAATGAGCAGACTTATTGAACTCACCTTGGGGGCAGTCCCGGTCCTCGTTCAAGTATAGAGAACCTTGAGCCTCAAAATGCACGAGTCTACGGTGGTGAGTTCCTGGGAATGAGAGGGAGTTGTTCTAGAGGCATGTGGTGGTGCTCTGAGAGGGAGGTGCGAGAGGATGCGACAGATGTGCGAAAGGGGTATTTTGACCGATGTTTGTGTTTTTCGTTTGTCTCAAGCCTCCTCGGGCTCACAAAGTGGTGACCTAGCCCCGAAGATGCAAGTTGAGCTTTGCGAGTGGGAAGACATCGTGGAGGTAAGGCGTACGCATCATGAAAAGGGTATCAACAAGACTCCAACGTAAAGTTCATGGAAAGCACGCGAGGGAGGTGCTGGAGGTATAGGACATGTTTACGACAGGTGTCGTAAGGGATATTCCACTGAGGTAAGGAGGGTCAGAATATTACGTCAGCTTTGTATCTTGACTCGGATTAAATTGTCTCGCTCGTTGTGTCATATTTTTGACTCTTTTTTGTTCACCAGTACATTTTTGGTCAAGCGCCTTCACACGTTCCCTGTGTGCCATGTGGTGGACGAGGACCTTTTTGTGATTATCCTGAATGGTACGATGCTTTTTATTATTATCCGATATTTGCTACTCCTCAGACATTCTGTGCTCGGCTCTGTAGTGAGCCTCCGTGATGCGTCTGTCTCACTGTCGCCAGCTGATTTTAGTCGTCGCCACTGTTCCATTATCTGTCAATTCTTTCTTGATTCGTACCAAGGTGTATTATTTTCGCGTTCGTTTGAACAGTATGCCTCTTGGCTCTTTTCAAGTGAAGAGACAGTCAGAACTCAGTTTGAAATGGTATTGACCTCTCCTTTATTTCATTCTATCTCACGTGTTCTAGGTCTTTCTGTCGCCCGCCGTACCAAAACCAAGTTTGTCGCCGTCATTTGCCTCCACTTCCTTGAACTACGTGCATTGTTCTCTGTTCCTTCACCTTACATCAGAGGTCTTGTAGACACAGATCGACGATGGGGAAATGTGCCACTAGTGATTGGTAAGGGAAAATCAGATCTGCGGAGACAAACGTTGGGACACTGCCAGGCAGGTTGCAAATATCATATTCGCGCGCGGCACTGACGTGATGTCGTAGCCAATACCAATGTGAGAATCAAAAATGAAGAACATCTCGGGGGCCGTCTGAAAAACACCCCAGTTCTCAAGGTAGTGGAAGATGTCTGATGCATTTACGGCTCAGTACTGAACCGTAAAACACATCAAACTTCCTCCACGTTCAGTGATGAAGCGAGTTTTTTTGTGTTTCCGCTAGGTTTTAAGTGGCGTCGTTGATTGACCATATGTGTTATGGGCGGGAGAGACTATCCTGATTGAGTAAGTATATGGCAAGTCAAAACCTTGGTTGATTTGCTGCATATGGCATCATTCACTCAGACTAACCAGAATATGGTATTTTTGGCGGTTTGAACGAAAGATTACTCTCGAAATATCTCACCTTGCTCGATGCTCGTACCCGAGGTGAGGCTGTGGTACTAACTCTTGACCTACCAAATCATTCTAACGTACATCTCACTTTTTATGTGTCAGAACTCAAGCGTCACTGAATATCCAACAACACCTGGATCGAGATGTACCCATCACGCTAGCTACAACGTTCCGGGCCTGTCATCATTAGTGGATAGCGGTTCAGGAGCCGAGAATATAAAGCACATTTTCGATCCTCGGACGTGTGGTCGCTGCTTTTAATGTCTCGGATACGGACCTGAGGCGGATCTCTGGCTAGCCGGTCATGACCATCGAAGACTGCCCTAATACTGAATAGTACACTACAAGAATATACGCAAGTTCGGGGGATGAATGTGTTGCTTACGATATTACATCACTATAACTCATTGTGAGCGCATTCATTTACCCCTGAGTAGGGTCTACAGTGACATTGCTCCTCAGTATTGTGTCTTGAAATCCACGAATTTGTCTCTGATCTTTGCCTCATTCGCTTTAGTATGTCCCGCCGTTCTTCGGGAGGTTTCCAATATTTAATGCATCTTTCCAATGTATGTATGATACATTTTCTCCCTTCTGTTCCACGCTTACCGTCTCTTCCTGGAAACCCCCGTCCCTGTCAATCATTGTCTTTACCATTCTTCTCCAAGTGGTCCAAGATGCGGTTCCTAACCGCCCTTGCTTCCACACTATATTTTTCTTCAGTTACATACGCTTCCCCTTATCATCCAGACCTCACATTCTACAATCTCAATGTAAACCAATCCGCCCAGTCTCCTACAGATTATTCAACCACAAGATCAAACATCACCTACACCCCTTCTCCACAGAACTGGCGTTCAATCCCAATGTACACCGTCCTTATGGACAAGTTTGCCGATGGTGACCCTTCAAATAATCAGTTCTTCAACTCCCCATATGAATGGGATTGGAGAGAAACCCAACTTCGTTTCGGTGGTGACCTCAAAGGTCTAATCTCGAAATTGGACTACATCCAAGGCATGGGCGTCAAGGCCATATATCTCTCAGGTACGATATTCTTGAACATGATATGGCAAGCCGATAGTATGTCCTCATCTCAATCTCATTTACCGCTCATACTCACTTCCTTCAGGTTATTCTCCTCTCGACTTCACCGTGTTGGATCCTCATTGGGGTACTATCGATGATTGGGTAAACTTCATCGACATCCTACACGCACGCGGCATGTATATCATGTTGGATTTCACAGTCGGAACAATGTCCGACCTTCTCGGCTTTGAAGGGTTTGTTCACCCTATCCACCAACTACAATCACTCACATTCACTCACCCATCAGTTATATAAATGCCAGCGCCCCATTCAGTCTCACTGAATATCCTGCAATGTACAAAAACCCAAAGCACCTCCCCTGGGGTTTCGAGCAGTATGTTGATTTTTCCGTAAGTAATTATTTCCGTTCACCTCGTACCTGAACCCCCCTCAACTAACTTTTTTTCCTAGGTCATCAATGAGCGTAACCATTCTTGCCAACTTCCCGTGTTTTGGCAAGAGGATGGAACAATCCTGCCTGCGACGGGATATGATGGTTGTTACGAGTCCGACTTTGACCAATATGGTGACATGGACGCCTTTGGTGTTCACCCTGCCTGGCAGCGTCAACTTTCCAAGTTTGCATCTGTACAGGACCGTCTCCGCGAATGGAAGCCTTCAGTTATGGACAAACTCACTACCTTTTCCTGCATGGCCATCACAGCCCTTGATATCGATGCCATTCGTGTCGACAAGTCCACGGAGATCACCGTCGATGGCCTAACCGCTTGGGCATCTGCAACTCGTGCTTGCGCCACTGATCTTGGAAAGAAGAACTTTTATATCACCGGTGAAGTCACTGGCGGTGACACCTTTGGGTCCCTATACCTGTCAGTCGCTATTTCACTCACCACCGGCACCAATTGATCTCCTTCATAGCGGACGTGGCCGTACCCCGACTATGCTGCCCCCCGGATTCCTCGCCAACTCGACAGAATCCGAAAACCAGTATTTCTTGCGCCCACAGTCGTCGAATAGCCTCGACGGCTACGCGTTCCATTACGCGATATACGGCTCCCTCATCCGTTTCCTTGGACTGGACGACAAAGTGGATCACAATACCAACTTCATCGCCACTTGGAATCAGATGCTCGTGACCGACGACTTCTTGAATCCAAACACCGGCCTTGCCGATCCGAAGCATTTATTCGGAACAAGCAATTTCGATGTTTTCCGTTGGCCCAGTTTGGCGAATGGCACATTGAGATCTGCATTGGCGTCTTATATCACGTACCTGGTCATGCCAGGGGTTCCATTGGTAGGAGTTATACTTGAACGTTTGTCACTGCAGTACTTACCTTTTACAGATCTACTATGGCGAGGAGCAGAATTTCTATCTGTACGACTCCACAGCCTCAAACTATCTCTTTGGGTGGGTCACCGACTGCTTCAAGTGATTACTTTTTTGATACTGCTACTTTCAGCCGTCAAGCTATGATGAGCAACAAGGCTTGGCAGCGCCACGGGTGCTACAAGGTTGGATCCATCGAATACTCCAACATGCCGCTTGAGTCCGCCTTAACGGGATGTGACGACGATTGGAACTCGCTCGATCATTTTGATCCCACGACGGACATGCGTCGCCTCCTAAAACATTTCTTGTACCTCCGAACCACCTACAACGCCCTCCAAGACGGCTTCGAACTCGTACAGCTTGGAAACTGGACCAACTTTGTCGAGTTCCCAGGTTCAAACAACATCGTAACCGAATTGGGCCTCTGGTCCGCATCACGTGCAGGTATACCGAACGTACAAAACCTGACAGGGGAGCACACCGATCAGGTCTGGCTATTGTACTCCAATCAGAACAACTCACAGTCGTTTTCGTACGATTGCAGGGGTCCGCTGTGGATATCGTCACCCTATGTGGGTGGGACGACGGTGAGGAACTTGCTTTCTCCGTACGAGAACTATACGCTCGTGGACTCGGGGTTGTCATATTATAATAACGGAGGGGGACCGTGGTATGGGTGTCTCCAGATGGTGGAGATGGACACGTTCGGCTTCAAGGCTTTGGTTCCTATCAGCGAGTGGGTCCCTGCCCCCCCTATGCTCACCAATTTCCTGCCTGGGCATGACGCGCGCATCGAAGTCATGTGGGGGGAGCCAAACGCCACGATTGTGAACCTCGTGCTAGAGTTCAATGTGGCAATGTCGTGTGATAGCGTCACACAGAGTTTATCGTTCAACATGTCGTCCTCTGGCATCGGTGGGCAGCCTACGCTCAACCTGACTTCGGTGGTGTGCAATGCTGTCACAAATCCCACCATGTCGTCCGTTGCGGGAACTCCGTACTCGCAGTGGTCGTGGTCTGGTACACTGACCGATGTTTCGGATGGGATTTTGGAGATTATTGTTAATAATCCAACATCATTCGATGGGACGCTGTCTACTGGGGTATGTCTGTGTTTTTCTGTACTCTGTCATGTTTTGCTCATGGTTTGTAGAGCATAGATCATCTGCTGCTGCGCAAGGGCGAAGCGAACAATGTCATAGTGTTCCCCGAGTCCGATTATGATAACACAGATTTCAACTACACTGACGGCCAGTATACATTCACGCACCGTGCTTACGGAGCGGATATGTTCAGGTACTCAGGCGACTTCACACTGAGTTGGTCTAACTGGACGAATTGGGAGAATGTTACGACCATACCCGCTGATGTCCTCAGCAATTCTGATACTTTCTGGACGGGACAACATATCATAGTACAATGTGAGTGCTCGTAGTTGCTGCTTCTTTTTTTAGTGTTGACGTTGCGGTAGATTGGAGTGGTGTCGCGACTACCTCCAGCGTCGTCGTGCATGCAGATCTGAACTACAAGCAGCAGCGTCGCGTTCCCCAGTTCCTCGCTCGAGGTCCTTTCAACGACTGGGGTTATGACCAGGGTATCTCCAATGCGATGAACCTAGTCAGCGATGGCACTTGGGAGCTCGAAATCATGGCTGCGTGGCCAACGTACCTGCAACTCAACGTGTTTGGGTACGATGATTACTACTACGGTGACGTCGACGGGGACGGCGTTATGGATCGGCTACCACCAAACAGCATTGCGCTCAACTACCTGAATTTGTCGGCACCCCCCTATCCTGCGCTCGCATGGACACTCATTGTTGATGATGCCACGTTGGAGTGGACTCTTGAACCTCGTGGCCAGGCTTCTGTCAGCGCTACCATGTACGGGCTCCTCTGCTCTCTCTCCCTCATTACCGGAGTTCTCGCAGTCGTCATTTTCATGTACTCTTTCTACGGCATCCGCCACAACCTGTACGGCGTGCAAACAAATCCGGGCGCAAACAAGTGTTCCCCTATCATCGGATCGCTCGATAACAAGTCGATCATGTACTTCAAAGGGAACGTGACGCCTATCATGGAGAAGACCTTTGGGCACAAGCCGAATGCGGAGATTATAGGATGGCCAGAGGACAGGAATAAGCTGCGCAAAGTCCTCATCGCGACGCTGGAGTATGAGATCATTGACTGGAAACTCAAGGTCAAGATCGGAGGTCTCGGTGTGATGTCATCGCTCATGGGAAAAGCTATGACGGACGTTGACTTGATCTGGGTCATTCCAAAAGTGAAGGACCTAGATTATCCCGCTGGTGAACCTGCGGAGCCTATCGAGGTTATCATCTTCAATGAGCCTTATCGCATCGAAGTGGAGACGCACGTGTTGAACAATATCACCTATGTCATCCTCGACAGCCCCGTTTTCCGTACACAGACCAAATCAGATCCGTACCCAGCCCGCATGGACGATCTCAGTTCCGCCATCTTCTACTCTACATGGAACCAGGCCATCGCAACCATCATCCGCCGATTCCCCGTCGTCGACATATATCACATCAACGACTACCATGGTGCGCTTGCTCCGATTTACCTCTTACCCAAAGTAGTACCCGTCTGTCTCTCGCTGCACAATGCCGAGTTCCAGGGTCTATGGCCGCTTCGAACACAAGAAGAGGTGAAAGAAGTCTGCTCCGTGTTCAACATCAGCAAAGAGCACTGTACGAAATACGTCCAGTTTGGAAACACGTTTAACCTGCTTCACGCTGCTGCGTCGTTTATCAGCGTTCATCAAAAGAGCATCGGTGTCGCTGGAGTGTCGGACAAGTATGGGAAGCGCAGTTGGGTGCGGTATCCTGCTCTGTGGACCCTCAAGTATGTCGATTCACTGCCTAATCCTGACCCTACGGATATCGTGGCTTTGGATGAGAACCCGGTGGCTATTCGTGAAGTGCAGATCAATCAGGTTGTTGAGGCGCAGCGTCCGGAGATGAAGAGGCAGGCTCAGGAATGGGCGAATATCAAGCAGGATCCCAACTCTGATCTGTTTGTGTTCGTTGGTCGGTGGTCGAAGCAGAAAGGTGTTGACCTGATTGCGGATGTTATGCCATCGCTGTGAGTCCGTTTCTAGATTTTGTGAGATTCGGCTTTGACGAGACCTCTCTCGCAGTTTTGAGAAACGCCCTTCGATACAGTTAATTTGCGTCGGACCTGTCATTGATCTTTATGGTCGGTTCGCTGCGGATAAACTTGCTCGGTTGATGGAGATGTACCCTGATCGTGTTTACTTGAAACTGGAGTTTACTGTGTTGCCGCCTTATCTGTTTAGTGGTGCTGATTTTGCTCTGATTCCTTCTCGTGATGAACCGTTCGGATTGGTCGCCGTCGAATTCGGGAGGAAAGGTGCCCTTGGTGTCGGTAGTCGACTCGGTGGTCTTGGGTTGATGCCTGGATGGGTGAGTGCTCAAGGTCGTCTTCTTGGGGCACGATTTGATAAGATTCTTGGTAGTGGTTCCCTGTGGAATCTACCTCGACGGACCATATGTTGTCTCAGCTTTCGAAGACGATCAAGCTGGCGTTAAAATCCACAGAGGAAGAAAGAGCCATGCTTCGTGCTCGGTCAGCTGTTCAGCGTTTCCCAGTCGTCGAATGGCGTCAGCGGATGGAAGACATGCACCGACGGAGTATAAACGCGAGCCGAAAGCGAGCTGGTTCAAACGCTTGGCGGGAGGCGGACTGCGGGACTGAGCCCTCTCAGCATGCGTTTCCGGAGGCAGAAGATTGGAACCCTGTCAATCAAGGACTGCCTGTTCAACCTGACTGGGATGCACAGAGCGCCATGTCATCCCCAAGATTTATGCTTAGTTCTCCTGGAAGCCAGGCTTCAACGCCCCACGATGAAAGCTTTCCACCTGGTCTCAACTTCAACCGCGACTCCTCATACCCATTGGATCCTTCTGATAAGGGACACTCGTGGCATAGTTTCGCGACTACTAGTAGTCGGTCTGGGCACAGTGACTTTTTGGAGAAAGCAAACAGGACGAATATACGAGATGTGCCAGATCCTTTCTTGAGTCCGGCGCCCCCTTCGAAACCGTTCGGGTCACATTCTCAGGCTCCAACGGCCTCCATTGGCAGCATCATGAAAGAAAAGACCAGCTCACCGCTAAACAAGGCTATTGTGACGGTGAATATCTCGAGAATTTTGGCTACCGCTATCATCTCATTCACTTTTTAGTTTACGGATTCTGATGGCGGCGTTGCCTCAGACTTTGTGCAAAAGCTGCAAGCGTTGAACTCGGACAACTCCAAGGGCGAACTCTCTATTGAGAAGTACCTCGTCAAGTCTGAGGAGGCTTTCTTCGAACGTGTGAGACGAGACAAAGTGTCCAGTGCAACCAGTCACACTTCCTCGCACCGGGAGTCTATCCAGACCATGCTGGCTCGACGAATTGGAGGCTGGCCGTTGTATACTATCACCATTGCTCTTGGCCAGGTAAGACCTTTGATTCTTAATCTTCATCCATGAGCTCACGTTTGTTCTCAAGGTGCTTGCTGCAAACAGCTACCAAATGACTTTGCTCACTGGTCAAAACTACCAGAGCAACATCCAGCTATATGTTCTCGGCGCTGTATTCTTGGTTTCGTCTTTCGTTTGGTATACGGTGTTCCGCTTAAAGCCTTCTGTCTACGTTCTTTCTGCTCCCTGGCTCTTCTATGGCATAGCATTCTTTTTGATTGGCATTCCCTCATTATCACCGAAAATTCGAGAAACTCATACCATCTTATCGGACATTGCCACTTGGTCATATGCTGTCGCTTCTGCTGCTGCTTTCATCTTTTTCGGCTTGAACTTTGGAGAAGAAGCGGTGCGTCATTTTTTGGGGGGTCCATTTGTGTGCAACTGACGTTTGTTCTTTAGGCTGCTCCTACTGAAGTCTGGATACTGCGCTCTTGCATTGTACAAGGTTCTCAACAGATCTGGGTGGCTGCCCTATGGTACTGGGGTAGCACACTGAATACTGCGACGCCTGGGTCTGTTACGCCTTGGTGGATTGTCTTTATCTTGTGGCCGCTCTCAATAATGTCGTTTGCGTTTGCATACTTGACGCTGCACGGGCTGCCAGGTAAGTCCCATCTGAGTTCTCAAGCACGACAATAATACCAATTACAAAACAGAGTACTACCAACAAACTCCTCCGAAAGTTCCAAACTTCCTCAAAACTCTCTTCCGAAGGAAGCTAGTTCTTTGGTTAGGCTCTTCTTGCTCGCGGCCAAGTTGATGACGCTGATACTCCACGCAAGGTTCCTCGCGTCTGAAATCTTACGTGATTATTGGCTCAGCGGTGTATGTTAGACCCGGTGCTTTGATATCCTTATGTTCTGACCTTATTGCAGCCCTACGGTCGCAACTGGAGTTTCCTGTGGAATGTTCCGATCCCCAAGTGGGCGATCTTGCTTCTCACAATCTTCTTTTTCGTCGGTGTCTGGGCTCTCATGCTCTATATCCTCACGTCTTTGAGTAAGACCCATACTTGGTTGTTGCCCGTGTTCGCTGTCGGCCTCGGTGCTCCGAGATGGTGTCAGGTATGATCTTGTCAATGTTGCATCAATCTTCAGACATCTAACATGTGTCGCAGACATTGTGGGGCACCTCGTCTCTCGCGCTCTATATCCCGTGGGCTGGCTCAGGGGGACCATACCTTGGTCTTGCTCTGTGGCTTTGGCTCGGTGTTTTGGATGCTGTACAGGGTGTGGGCTTGGGAATGATTCTCCTGCAGACGTTGTCAAGATTACACGTCTGTTCCACACTCGCTCTCGCTCAGGTCATTGGGTCTATTTGTGTTATGGCCGCCCGCGCAACTGCACCAAACCGCATCGGTCCAGGAAGCGTATTCCCTAATGTCGGAACATGGGACTTCTCGCATGGTCTCAAGGGCAGCCCGATGGCCTCCGCTCCATTCTGGCTGGCGCTGATCTGCCAGATTGTCATTGTACTAGGTTACTTCTGGTTCTACCGCAAAGAGCAACTAGGTAAGTCGTCATGCAACTTGGCCGTGGAAATGCTCTCACCACCGTTGCTTCAGCTCGACCATAGTTATGCTATTGCTATCCACCGTCATTCATGTACATACTAGAACCGTTACTCCATTCAAGGCCTTCCTTGGATACTTTCACTCGCTTATATTTTTTTCGCTGTTAGATTATAGGTTGTCATCAAATTTCTGGAACTCTGTACTCACTCGCACATCACATTGTCAGCCGAAAATCACGTCGCTAACTCCAGTGTTTGTATGGGTGCCAGGTGATGTAGCCTGCCGGAATGAACTGGCACCACAAGTCCAGCTGAGCGAACGCGCTGTTCGCTTCCTACGTTCGTTTTCTCCCTCTACTACGTGCCACGTCGAGTTCGTCGTACCTCATTCGCACACCTACAGCTTTCTTTCGACCCACCCACTGGCCACTCCTTTTTTCGTCTTCGCACACTCAGTTCATATTCTGTAGTTTAATTGATTGTTCTTTAATGCATAATCGTTTCGTGGCTCCTCAAAGAGTCGTTCGACATGTTCGAATTCGTGAGCAGTTATCCCGCCCTCCAGAGTTGCTCTACCTGCTTGCGTCCCACCCTGAGCTAACGTTCGGTCTAGCCCAACCTGTCAGATCACATCAGCGACTTTCAGGCCAGACGAAGCTAGACTCATATATGTATTTCAAGTATTTTTATAGATCTGCGTTTTGGTGTTGCTAGAATCATACAAGCGGTCCATTCACCTTTAGATGTGAATTATAATAAGAGACGTCTGTACACTACGTCTGTGGTGGTCTTTTCCTCTTCTCTTGGAAATAGCGCTCGAATGTCTCGGTGACATCGTACTCTTAAAAGTGTGGTATATAATGGGGAGGCGTGTTCAATTGGCTGTGTCAACATCGCGAGGTAGTCTGGAGTTTGCTCGGGTGCGTCTGGAAGAGCCTGCTCTGCTTCTTTGAGAGTGTCGAAACTGAAGAACAATTCTCTCTGATGAGGTCGAGAGATTGACACACATATGAGCACGGACTTGAGTGTAAGGTTAGCGCACCTGTAGCGAGTACACAAAAAGGAAACCAACTGAGGTCTCAAAGAGTAAGCATAAGCCCCAAACCGTCAGTTGTGATGTCCGTGGACGTCACGATGGGAAGGCAAGTTTTCTCTCGCCAACACGAGGATGTATTCAAATATCAAATAAATCACGTACTTTATCGTCTGTTTGCGTGTCCATGAGTGGCATTATGCAGGAACTTCAAGGAAGGCAATATACCATCTGAAAAATCGATGACATCATCGGAGTAGCTCGAGTCTCTGTTGCTGGAGATCGCTTCGAAGTAAGAACACGAGAGAAGTATCTCCAGGTTTAGGAAGAGCGCCTGAGTAGACAGCGCGATGGAGTGGACCTCCCAGAAGGCAACCAGCGTGGATGTTTTGCACGAGAAGACATACCTAAAAGTTAACGGTCTTGAATTCCCTATCTCCCCTTCTTTTCAGGTGGCAAATCGGTCTAGTGTGTAGTAGAGTGAGCAACTAACAAGTTGTCGAAAATACGCACCAGCGATGTAATCGAAACGGGAGTAACATCCATTGTCGAGGAATAGCCTGAGTATCAACATGATCAATATGTCGGATTCGGATATCGAAGGCCTCTCAAGTTAGCACAAGGTGGCTATGATTACTTAATTATTTGGCGTTGTGGAACGCCACAGCCACAATTGTCAAGGACCTTGACCTGCTAGAATTTGATTTAAATTAGACTCGTTGCGACGGTGGACATATATATACATACAATCATCACGGGGCCACATCAATCATGATGAGATTACGGATTCAGAATCTGTACGAAGTCCCCGCGTGAGATTCATCCGGTATCTTCCTTCAACTACTAGAAAGAAGTCAAAATCCACTAAAAATGATTACCAGGGCCCAGCAGGTGTACGTCCAAACGAAATCCAACTTATTCCTCAACTCACATGTTCGCACGACAGCAAGTTCATCGAGAGCCTGAGCTCGGACTCTCTAAACATCCGCACTTCGCAACCGTATCACCTGTTGCGATGCACCGGACACTGCCGGGCCCAAATCGCTGGTAGATCACGGTGTCTGCTTATGGGCTACGCCAGAACCATGACGGAAAAGTGTAATGCATCGCAATAGTCCGTTTTTCAACTCGTCTTCAGGGCTATCTTTGTTGTTCGCACCAGTGAGGGATATAAATTTGGACACACTGATAATCAGTTTCCCGCTTAAACTTGAAGCACCCCTCAATGCCTCATCCAATCATATCAGAATTTGATATTATTTTTTCTGGGGGTGAGTGATGCATCTCGCACTGGGGTGACTAACTTGACATAACGCTGTATCATGGTTCAGGTGGTAGCACAGCTTGTGTTGTCGCAGGCCGCCTAGCTACATTAGATCCCTCCCTTACTATCTTAATTCTCGAAGGGGGCCAACACATTCTCAATCAAGCTGCGCATGTGCGGCCTTACAAATTTACAAGTCATCTGGTGCCAACGAGTACCACTATGACATTCAATGTTGGAAATCCAAGTCCACGTCTCAACGGCCGCGCTCCAATCGTTCCGTGCGCCCATTGCGTTGGTGGAGGCTCAAGTGTAAATGGTTTGTAGCGTTCTTGCACTGAATACCATGGCTCTGATAAGTTGACTCGGTCAGCTATGTGTTACACTCGTGGACCTGCCTCAGATTTTGATGACTGGGGAGCCGAAGGGTGGGAATCTAAGAACTTGATCCCCCTCATGAAGAAGGTCTTCGACTGAATCATCTCTATATTTTTCAAGCTGAACTATTCATTGCTTAGCTGGAGACATATCAGGTACAGCCCGATCGCCTAACCCACGGGTACGGTGGACCTATCAAAGTGTCCTCTGGTGGATGCAAACTAGTTGTCTCCGAAGAGTTCATACACGTTGGCACGACATATCACAAGAGGCAATATGCTGAAGACACTGATGATTTAGAAACATGCAACACATACAGTGTGCGCCACCTGAATTTCTTTCACCATGTGTGGAGTCCGCTCACGAGATCCACTTCAGCCATGGGCGAAGTGAGCTTGTGCTCATCATCTATTATTAATTGGGCTCATAGATGAGAAGGTACATTGACGGGACAACTGGAAGGCGTTCCGACGCGGCCCACCACTATGTCTACAACCAAGCTCACAATGCAAATTTGCAAATATGGGTTGGCAAGCGCGTGAAGCGCGTGATCTTTCAGTGAGTGTTCCACATTCAAGTTGGATTTTAACCGTGCCAGACTGCTGATGTCTTTTTCGAATGAAAGAGATAAGCGTGCTGTAGGTGTCGAGTTCACCAGCGATCCAGTGTCTTGCCCAGACGCGGATCAGTCATCAAGCATCGTGAAAGCATCAAAGCTTGTTGTTATCTCTGCTGGGGCATTCGGTTCGCCGGCCATCCTCGAGAGGTCTGGGATCGGTGCAGAAGCAATTCTCAAGCGGTGCAATATCAAGCAACTAGTGAACTTGCCTGGCGTTGGAGAAAATTATCAAGGTCCGCATTCAACCATTTGTTTCATGATGTTAACTTAGGGTTAAGAGATCACAACCTTGTCTTTACTCCATACTTTGCCGCTGAGGGAACTGTTACTATGGACCCCCTCTATCTTGGGGAGGAGAGTGACGTTGTTGTCCAGAGTAAGCATGTTCTCGCCATATTCCGAGTCCATTTAACTACCCATGAAATATTATAGAAAATCTGGCCCAATGGAAAATTGATGGCAAGTCACTTATTGCCCAAAAGTTGGTGCAAAGCCTTCAATACTGGTGACGTATTGATTGGCATTTCAGTAGCAGCGATGCAAAAATAAAATGGCGTCCTGATGACGATGAACTGAAAGCCATGGGTTCAGCTTTTCAACCACGATGGAAAGAGTTCTTCCAGGATCGCCCAGACAAACCTGTTGCACTATTTTCTCTCTGTGCAGGGTGTGCACATTATTTTTGTTTGATGACGCACGAATACTCACGGTAACCAGATCCGCTGGGTTCTCGCGTATCCTTCCTCGTAGCAATTACATCGCTGCCAACTATTTTACAGTACTACTTCCATATTTACTACCCCGTGATTTTTGTTCTGAATTTTCCAATAGCTGTACCCCGTGTCTACTGGCAGCGTTCATATCAAATTGGACGAGAACGGCCAGGAAGGAATCGACTTCAATGCAGGCTTCCTGGATGAGTGAGTCGGAAATTTCAACTCACTGATGTGACTACGATAATCCTCACAGTCCATCCGATATTGTACCTCTTATCTTCGGGTACAAAAAGCTGCGCGAAGTCATTCGACGCATGTCTTCATATAGAGGTGAAGTCCCCATAGGCCACCCTGATTTCCCACAGGGAAGCGCTGCAGTCTGCGGAGAAACAACCGGGCCGGTGGACTTGAATGCGCCTGACATAATCTACACAGCAGAAGACGACGATGCGATCGATCGATACATTCGTGATCGCGGTATGTTGCATCCCTATCGTTATGTCAAGATACTGAATTGATACTCAGTGCAAACGACATGGCATTCGGTATGTACAGCTGAAACTTTCATGCTTTCACCTGGACTTTACGTGTCTAGCTCGGAACTTGCGCCATGAAGCCAAGGGCAGATCAAGGGGTCATTGACGCTCGGTTAAACGTGTACGGCGTGACAAACCTCAAGGTGGCGGACATGTCTATTGCGCCGATAAATGTTGGCACGGTGGGTACTGGTCGGGGATCCTCAATATGCAGTCTAACCGTCTCTCTAGAACACATATTGGACAGCGCTTCTCATTGGGGAGAAGGCTGCGATGATCATTGCTGATGAGTTGGGTATTGAATGTCGATCATCGTGGAAAAGTCCTCAATCACGTCTGTGATCAGTAGGTGTCATTGTAGGAGTAATCTTGAGCATGTACTTTACGCGTCAATCGCTGATACGCAACCAGCATATATATCAAAATCGTGAGGACAATATATCGATTGCAAATTCTGGTAATAGTATATTAGCTTGCAACCTTCTTCATACCACCTGACAAGGATCAGCACACTCTTGGCTTTTCCTTTCCGCGCGCATTTTGTGTGCCAGTCAGTATGTCTACAACCAGGCTCACAACCCCAATTTACAAATGTGGACGTGAAGCGTATGGTCTTCGAGTGAGTGTTGCGCCCTGGATCGTAATCGTGCTCAACTGCTGACGTCTTTTCCGCCGTAGGTGTCGAGTTCACGCGAAATCTATCGACGCATGTCTTCTTACCAAGGTGAATTTGCCGCTTTCAGAGGGAAATGCTGCAGTTTGCGGAGAAGCGATCGGTCCAGTGGACTTGAATGCGCCCGACATGGTCTACACTGTAGAAGATGAGAAAGCGATCGAAAATCTTCTCCGTGATAACAGTATGTCCTGAATTCATTTTCCCATTCTTAAGGTAACATATCTGATTGAATCCCAGTGTGATCGACGTGGTACTCGGTATGTGTAGCTTGTACTTCTACAGGAGGTGCCTTATCCTTGTGTGTGGCTCGGGACTTGTGCCATGAAGTCGAGGGAAGATCAAGGAGTTGTCGACGCCCGGCTAAACGTGTATGATGTGACGAACCTCAGGCCTCAAGGTTGCAGACTTGTCCATCGTGCCGAAGAATACTACTAAGGTGAGTAGTGAACAAATTGGATCTCCATGTGTGATTGCGCACACAACTTGGTTGAGGTCTAGGAATGTCATATCACTGAATTGGCTCAGGTGAATGAGATGTACTGAAACTGCCAGCCTTGCACTCTGAAGAGGATGAGGATGTGCTGCCTGCGTGTCGATGCTGGCCATTAGGGCTCGGTGAGAAATACAGATGTTACTAACATTGGTTATTAACATCAGTTATTAACCGGTTAATAACACCGAGGAAAGTCAGACGCACTTTTAGCCTGTTAATAATTGTTAACAATCATATGTTCAATACAAGAGCCTCCAGCTGCATCAGTCGACTACTGTAGAGATACGACACTAGGTTCGTCACGTGCAGCCCGTGACGATGTCACGCTTAGTCTTACAGGTTCGAATGTCCAGGTGACCTGTGACCTTACCCAAATAGATTCGCCTGCGGATCGTAGTGCTTCGCCGCTCGCAACGCCATTTGCAACCATCTGACATGCTGCTTCGTGATTCAAGCAACTTGCTTCAGTCTGTCATGGATTCACCTCGCATAGCGCTGACTGGTAACGAGTGGAATTGGAGATTCGCGAGCCTCGCAAGTCGAGAGGCGTTGCAATATTTACGTGATGTTCAGAAGAATGATCCAGCTGGATGGACGAGGATTGCTACTGCTCAGTACAAGACTGTCAGCGTTGACCAGGCAACAAACTCCGAGTCAGAGAACGAGGCCACTGATACTACCGGAGCCGAATCCCCCTTTGACGATGCTAGTGAGCATGACCTCGATGCCAGTGACGTGCCAATGGATGCACTCCTTGATCATATGGCTTCCGGGGGTGAACACGTCCGTTCTGACTGCCGTATCGATGCAGATGGCGGACTTCTGTGTTCAAACCACTCCGAAGTCTATGATGTGGGTGACATTACTGCCAAAGATGTGGAGAGTGGCTCAAATAGTGTTCCGAAGGTTGATTACGGGCGTGGAAAGCGTAGACGCATCGCAAATTCGATGTATGATGATTTCTGGTCCCATTAGCGCATAACCTATGTTTTTTTTCCCATATGTCACAAATTAGCTTCGTCCCACCAAAAATTCATGTGACAGTCACACCAAATAGATTCGATTCGTTAAGGGCTGTGACCTGTGACGAACCTAGTGTCGTATCTCTACAGTACTAGTCATGTATAATCTAGTATTTAAATCTCGTTTAGAAACACTCTGAGTGACAAATGTCACAATTGTTACAGGTAACAGTCAAGCGTTTAATCACAATATTTGCCCAGCTTTTTTCTTATCTGAAAATATGTCCGAGTCACCCACAACGGAGGAGTTTGTCAACACTCTCGACAAGCTTAATATTCTTCTCACCAACCTACCTTCCCAGCTTCCCTTGGCTGATAATTACTATGACTCCCAGTACCCCTCCTTTCTACAATTTTCCTTGGATCCTGATATACTTGAGAAGACTGGTGATGAGGTAGCGACTCTAGGTGAACAACTGGAGTCTGTCTTTGGCTGGAAGGCTCGGACTTCAGGTGATGGTGTTATTCCAATCCTAGAATGTGGAAAAGCAATATGTGCCTTGCATGGTATCTTGATGCTATATTACAAAAAATACCCTACAAACAATGTGCTCAAAAAGTGGGTCCATGACATCACTGCTGGAGCAGAGAAAGTTTACGAGATGTATGGTGTCCCTGTACGTGATCCGGAATTTATTTGCAAATTGCACTGCCCCTAAAACTAATCCGAGTTAAGATTCCAGAGTGCTCAAAAGAGCCTGTAAGGCAACAGGGTACCAAACGTCCAGCACCAGATGTCACTATCACGCACTCACAAAGCACTGGCAGTAAGGTATGTAATGTTTCCTTTGTAATAATACCAATATGATATCGTGTTGTCTCCGCAGGCTGCCACGATGGTGACCGACGATGGAGATGCAGATTGGAATTATTAGACTCACAGACAACCTTTTTAACAATTGTTAACTGCGTTTTTGTTGTTAACAATGTTAATAATGTATTTCTAACACGTTAGTAACACAAATGTTAGGAATTGTTATTAACCTGTGTTAACTATGGCCCTGGAGCGCCCGATGTTACTAACAAATGTTAGAAATCGGCCGTGAATTATTCACCGAGCCCTACTGGCCATGTACTAGTATATGTACTCTGGGACCCCAAGACTCCTGAGACCCCGGTCTCTGCCTCATGCTGCTCTTTTTGTTGCTCTCTAGATCTCTACACTCGTCTCGCTCTGGCTCTCCTCCTCATGTCAGGTTCTTCGATGTGATCTTGTTATCCGATATGTTGCGAAATAATCGATCAAGGCTTGTAGCTCAAGCTTCAAGCCCGGATCATGACACGACAGGACATCAATGCAGGCTTTAAATGTATTAGCTAGGCACTTTAGACTTCAGTAAAGATAGTCGCCCTGCCACTACTTGTCAGATTGAGACTCCGATGTTAATAGAAGGAAGGTCATCGTTCCTTCTATTAATGGTCTGCCAATGTGGGAGACTAGTCTCTGATGGCATGATGGGCCGCTCAGTGTGAGTTGGATGAACGGGCTCTAACTGGTTCCCATGCCGCCTTGTTACTTGGTCTCAGACCAGATAATTATCCACCGTGACGTTTTCTACGACACGAAAAAAACAAACCATGTTGGATGGAGGTAGCAAGTTAGTCTGAGCGCAGCTGGCAGTTGACCATCTGAAAGTTCATAACGACCGTCTTCCCATCCATATCAGACGCCAAGTTTCTGGGTCAGAGATATGAATCCATACCACCATTCCAGAGTAGAGAAAACCCTGGACAAGTGAGCTCGCTGATGATATCAACTCGTTGTTCTATTAAACTAGGTGTGTCTGAAGTCAGATACCACACGTACCTAAACCATTGCTTGGTACTTACCTTTTCGCAAGTCCAACCCCCTTTCCAGCTGTACTAGCTAGGTCCGTGCCAGGTACAGGTTCTTTATTATAAGAGACCCCTATTTTTGAACGTGCTTTGGAGAAGCTGGACGGATCATTTGGAAAGGTGATTAATATCATCGACGAAGAGATGTCATCCCAAGGTACGGGTAGCAGAGAAGTTGAAGGGGTGGAGGGATGATATTGCGGAGATGTGGACAGGGGGAGGCAGAGTTTTCCAGATTTCAAGGATCAGAAGTACGCAGGTGGATTGTTTATCGACTAAAATGATGATACAGCAGTGTATGTATTATCACAAATATAAAACCTCGAGGGATAGCCAGTAGCAAAATGTGTCAATGTTAGATGTAATACAGGTAGTTGGGATCCATATTCATGGGATGACAAGTATCAGAAAGGCGGATGATGATGCAAGTGCAGGATATATTAGTCAATGCAAACAGTCCTGGCAGAAGCAACTGGTTGCTTCCCAGTGCAAAAAATGCCAAAATATTGGGCATTTGTTCGAGTGAATACCCTTCGAGGGCAAGAAGGTTCTTCGTTGTCGCCTGATTTAATGTCAGCCGCTGGATATTCCTTAGGCACTAAAGGTCTTGTCCAGTTGTCACCTGGGTCACCTGCTGGGTATTGCTTAGGCACTAGGTGTTTTCGTGCGTGTGACTCCCTCGTAGATTGCTGCTTTATAAATTCCCCAAGCCGGTTGATTCTCGCTCTTTTTTTCACGAAAGAATCTGGTGCTAATAATCATTTGTCAATCTAGGGCTCGTATTGCAGCAGGTTCACATACGTGGCATAGCCTCCGCCGTGTTTGGCTTTGGTACTGATAAAATAGTAGCAGCAGGCGGGCAGGTCATTTTTCCTGCGGCTGGTGCGTTCGGAGCGACAAGTAATTCCTTGATGCCCAGTTGGGTACGGGCAGTGTCAACTCCCCCGTAACGTATGGCGAGATGAGTGTATAACGGAAGCAAGAGCCGGTTTATTCTATCTGTACGGATCATGAGAAGAAAATGCAACAAATTACTGATAAATGTTCACCGTCCAGTTCCAAAGGAAAGGCATGTTTGTGGTGTCTGATTAAAATCAGCATTTTGAAGTACGCTGATTTCAACGGCAGCAATGTCTGTGAACAAGTAATGAACAGGTACAATTTCACTCCCATACGTGTAAGAGTGCTGCGTGCGACCTTAATTACCAAGAGCATTATTAAAAGAGCTTGCGACAATTAAAATTATATTCACCTCAGTCAGGGCGATAATCTTCACAGAAAAACCGTTAGTTGACTGTAAAATGGAATTAACAAGAAAGACAAGACTTTTCGACCGTAGCACTGAAATTCTGAATCTCGCAAGTGGCTGAACTTCAGGAGGTCATTAATACCATCTTGAACATGTTTTTGAGAGCAAAGACGTTCAGTGAGTTCCAGAGTGACTCGTCGACGATGAAGTGTAGGGGGGATGTCATTGTTCATGACTAGTAGAAAGTGGGTGTGGGTGGAGGGAGGTGGAAAGATATGGAAAGAAGAGAGATACTGGCAACACAGAATATGTAGTAATATTAATGTGGCACAGCTTGAGTGATCTCTTGGTCCACGAATATGATTACATAGAAAGCCTTGCCAGCCAGTGCAGGCAATGGAGTCATTAAAAGAATAAATATAGATATCATCACAAGCCCTTCCAAAGTCACCTGTGGATTTCCATCGTTCCTAGAATGTGCCACAGCCATGTCTGGTGGCATACTTGCGTTGCATCATGTTCGCCCATTTATAAATTACTACACCCTAGTCACGGTGACCCCACTGGAACTTTGGTGGAAAAATACAAACCTGTCATATTTACGTACAACATCATCAAATAACACGTCCACAAGCCACAACCTTGCCAACATCTCAAATACAGCGGCTTTCATTACTACAGCGTGTTACTCGGCTGTACCAACCACCGCGCGTCAATCAAGGCGACACGCAATGGAATCATCTACGAACAGAACAGAACAGGAAATACAGAAACAACTAGAGATTCGGAGAGAGATAGAGCGCTTGCAAGCTCAGCTTACACCCTTTCCCGACTCCGCCAACGATGTAATCGGATCTCCCAAGAGGAAACAATCATCTGAAAATTTGCTCGCACCCGCTACTCCGTCTCCTAGTAAGTAAGCGTGCGTGCTCTCGGGGTTTTATCAAATGAACGCTGATGGCAGAGAAGAAGAGGAGGGTCGATCATGCAGGACATACACACCGCCCATTACTTGGCAGAACGAGTGCCACCTCAGGGTCTCTCTCAGCGTCTGGAGCTCGGAGCGTGAATTCTCGGCCTTCGGGTAAAGGTCCGATTGCTGCAGTGCAATACCAGAAACCTGCTCCTTCCAATCTCCTGAGCAAGCTTTCTAAATTATCAGGCGGCACAGCAAAGCAAGAACAAGCAAATTCGACTCAAAGGTCTCACAGCTTACTGGCTCGGCCCGAACCTGAGCCCTCCATTGCTTCAAATCCCAAAATGATTGCAGTGCCACCTAGTGCCTCCCAACCTGTTTCGGACATCGTGCCGAACAGAGATGACCGACTGGCTATCATCGAGCAACTTAAAGTCGGCCCCGTGGATCACAAGCCGCCACTTGACGATCCCCATTTTCAGCGACTTGAGCCAAATTCTGGCATCCGACTTTCGTACGTCTTGTCATCACAATTGAAATCCATTAGATCATTGGACTCAAGAATTGTACGTAGGTCTCGTTCATTACCGCACGATGATTTGCAGGAGTATCTCCGAGGTCGATATTACCTCTCACCGTCTACATTTTACTCTTGCATACGACTGTTACCCAATCAGTCAGGCTACGATGTGCCCGTCGAAGGTGACTGGATCACTATCGCCGTTGTTGCAGAGCGGGGCCCTATAAAGACTACACGTGCTCCCGTAGACATCGCTCCTGGCGACGATGGACGTGCAACTGATGATGAAGGAGGCCCCAGTAACACCGACGATCGTAAAGCTGGCGATAATTCTCGTACCCAGGACCCGCAGAAACAGAAGCCCTCGAGAACTCACGGTAAAAAATTCGTCAATATGAAATTAGTTGACTTCGGGGCGCGTTCACGACCATCGTCGTCAGGCGCAGTGACCATTCGAGGAGACGCATTCCTGACCCTCTTACTATTCGAAGCTGATAGTTTTGACCGTGTCACGAGCGACGATGGCAAAGTCAAGAAGCTCTACAAAGGTGGCAGCAAAGGCGCTTTCGAATCGATGTCAAAGCTTAAAGAAGGGGACGTCATCGCTCTTCTGAATCCAAAGGTCCTCAAGCCCTTCCAGGTGAGCTTGCACGAGTAGCATTACCCATGATAGTGAATAACTTGCTCAGCGGAACAACAAAAATGGAAAACCGCACCCAACCGACAACATACTCGCCGTCACACCCGAGTCCGCCGAATCCATTGCTGTCATCGGACGCGCACAAGACTTGGGCATGTGCAAGGTGCTCAAACGCGACGGAAAAATATGCGGAAGCTGGACAGACAAGCGAGTGAGCGACGTATGCGACTGGCATTTGACGAACGCTGTGCAACGGCAAAGAGCCAGGCGAGCTGAGTTTTCTGCAGGGTAGGTAATGTGAATGGTTCTATACCTTCGCTCCGACTCACGTTCCTCAGGACCTCTGGAATGACAACTTCGTCATCAAAGAAGCGAAAAGCAGATTATGATCCGCAACGCCAGTGGGGCCTGAAGCCTTCTGAAGCATCTGGCTCGCGTGGAGACAATACCACGTACGTTGTCTCAGGGCACGTCGTGAGCGGGTCGAATCGGGATGTCTCGTCGATGTTTGTCGCTGAGAACATGGGCCGCGAAGGCCAGGCGCGCGCGAAGCGAAAGCTGATGCAGGATGCCGATCGCGAGCTGAAGGGCCTACTCGAGAGGGACAAGGAAGGTATGCGTGTTGTTGCCAAGGCCAGGGAAATAGGTGCGATGAGGGCGAAGCGACCCTCTGATAGCGCTAAGGATAAGAAGTCCTCAAAGGGGAAGCAAGCCGCGAGAGATTTAGATGGTATTTCAGAATCTGATGCGGAGACATCGAATGCACCCCAAACGAAGCTGGCCTATTCGGCAGATATCATTAAGAAGCTTGGATTCGATCCTGCAGCGAAAACAGGGCAAAAGCGTGCGGTGCAGTCCTCGGTGCAAGATAAAGTGCGTTGGTTAACCATGTCTACTTGACTCTCTCTAACAGAGTCTTGGTGCTTGTTTCATAGATTGCAGCTCTCGCAGCTGTCCGCGAGTCCCGGAAGGAAATTAATCTTGGTCCGCGACCAGGCCCTAGAATTCGTTCTGGGGTAACTGTTCCTGCATTCATGCTGGAACATGAACTGGACAATGATGATTGTGGTGAGGAAGGGGATGAGAATGTCAGTACTGGAGGTGGACATGAATGTGACGAGTTGGTAGATCTCGATGACTGATTCACAGGCCACTACGGACAGTTAGTGCTCGGATATACGAACAGTCTTAGTTTTCACTTGCAACTTTTCACGTTGGCAATGCAACTTGATGTGGTGCCAAAGGAGCGCGTCGTGCAAGAAGATTCTGCTGCTTGTACTAACACGTTCCATGTGTACTTTCAAATGCTAATGACCACAGATCTCGATTCTCCAAGTTGCATTCAAGCTCCTTGCAAGGCGCCATGCTGCAGGCTCTGACCAACTGGGGTCATCATCTATGTACGTGAAAATGTATTATAAGGGCTATCGAGTGTACTGACACTCAGGGCAGCGCTCGACGCTCGTGCATTCTTATTTTTCCATCCTAATGCGGTGCAGCGAGAAGCGTCATATACGTACCAGTGTTGCAACGTGCCTCCTGTGGAGCATCAGGTCTCTCAAATTTCAACTCCCCCAGCGCGATAGATTTCAGCAGCGAGCACAAATTTGCTTCTGTCCTCTCATACTAATCATGCTTCTAAAAAATCATTCAGTCCCTGAACATGCATGGAATAATCTATGTGATTGGGACACAAAGGCGCTTTCGATTCTGGAAAGCGCCAGTCGTACTCAAGATGCACAGAGATGCACACGTATTACTGCGATACGCACAAAAGCTGCCGCCATTATTTCTACCATCACGCACCAGCTCGCACTAGCTTTCCCGGTGCGCATTCGAGGCAATATCGAGGAAGCAGTCGAGGAAGACAAGATGCTCCTATCGTCTAGAAATTGTCGCAGCGATCTGTTCGTGTATGCTGCCATGGCCATCAATTATATCTGCCGCTCGTCATCATCCGAAGCAGCGACTAAATTTGTTCTTTCGTGAGCAGCCAACTGTGACATATCAATGTTCAGCTTTTTCGACAGATTTCGCAACTTCGGCTTCGGAGGATCCAGTTGCCACTGCCGGATGTTGGCGTCTATATCCAATTCATCTCAGACCCGTTTCCACTTGCAAAACTTCAACATCTCTTCCATGCGGATCAAGAAAGCTTGGCTACGATGCTTGAAGCATTTCACCTGTTATCTTGAATTCATCTGACGGGGAAATGTTGAGATCTATGATCACGCTTGGCTCTGCAACTCTACGCTGGAAGAAATAACACGTGAATGATGCACGACACGAGCACCTTGCATGTTGCTGCCTTGATTTCTTTGTACGACAAGAACCATCGAAGCCCGATTTACTATGCGGCGACCAGTATCAATTTCTGCGCTGGGTTGAACATCTTTCTTTGGCCTATCACAGTAACAAAATTCGAAATATGTCTACGGAGACAACACTGCGACGTTGGGCGTTGTACTTAACAGTGGCCTTGCTTCGCTTACTCTCTTATCATAATCTGGTTGCAAGAGACTCATTTAGCCTTGGTTTGCCGATCGTCAATGAATTAGACATGGCTTGGGTCTGTCGGACAATATTGTGGTTGACATAATTCTCTCAGAGAAGGTACTGTACCCTTCAAATACATGTCACTGAATTTGCTACTTACTACACATTGTTAGGAATGCCATGGCAAAGATGGGTAACTGATCGTCAACAAGAACTGAAAGAACATGAAAGCCAGTACACATGACAATTACACAGAGGACCTCTAGTCCAATTTCTTGTCCGAAACAGCCCCAGTCGCCTCATTGTGCCTACCCACAAGCCGATCAACTTCAGCAGCCTGTTGTGCGGCCTGCTTTTTGAGGTTTGCTGAAGGATGTATGTTTAGTTTAGAAACGAAACATCGATGAAAAGCGATAAACGCACCAAAGTCACGGTCCTTCGCTTCACTCGCGGCTAATTTTTTCTTCAGTTCTTCGATTTGCTTGGATTGGTCACCCTTGGCGCCAGCACCAACCTGCAAAACCAATGATATATAAACAGGAGCCAACCCCGCATGGAGGGTACTCACAACTTTCTTCAATTTGGCGTATTCCTCCTGCGTGTGGATGAGGTCCAAGATGATGGAAAATGTGCGGGTGAGGACCAAAGAGAGGAAGAGGCAGAAACCAGTTAGGTAAGTGTTTCGTTGAGCGCTGATAAGAAAAATACAACGCGTCAGATTGAATCATACGTTATGACAGAGGATGGGGTGCGCACTAAAACTTGCGAGCGGCGAAATTGGTCTCAGTTCGTACGTCGTGCATGCCCTGGCCGCCTGTTTTTGCCATTTCGGTTTCGGCTGTTACACGGAACATGCGTTGGAGGGCATCTAGGAAGAGAATGCCCACGAAGCTGTGACATGATATTAGTAAGTGAGTGAGATGTGAGCGATTAGAGTGCAGACATGAAGGAAATCTTGAGTCCATACGCGACTTTGGCGACGATGGGGCTTTCAGAGAGAAAATGGAAAAGTTTTTTGCGGACTGTGAAAGGGAGTGGGGATACGAGCAGGCAGAATGTTGCCATCTAGTTGAGACGCATTATGAATCATGAATTGAAGTCAGGTGCTGCCGGACTTACTTCTGCTGCTAGGAGCAAGAATGTAAGCGAGTAACTGTGGGACCATGAGAGCTTGTCGAACTCGGTTTGTTCAATACATACTAGATTGTCATCGTGCTTAAAGTCGTTGTTGCTGTCAATGTCAAGGTCGTCGTCGAAGCTTTGAATTTAAAGGTTGAAGTCTACGTTGCAGCCTTTAAATCGGGATGGGTGCACTGCCTGCTGTGGAACGTGTTCAGCGTGACGTCACAGACACGTCCCCATCATTACATAATCGATTCCCATCTACCCCTTGAACGCGTCACTCTGATCACCCGATTACGCTGCCGCAGACCTGCATTCCCATCCAAACCAATGGCTCCACTACAAGTACACGTTAAACACGCAGGAAAAACTATCGATGTTGACCTAGAGACATCACTTCCACCTGCCGCGTTCAAAGATGCGATTTATCAGGTCACGGGCGTACCGCCGGATCGTATGAAAGTTATGATCAAGGGTGGCGTGCTCAAGGTGCGAACTTTTCGTGTTATGCGGGTGCTTCGATAGATAGCTTATTCGTGTAGGATGATACGGATTGGAAAAAGGTGGCCCCTAAAGCAGTGAGTGCGCTCTTGTTTTGTTTTGTAGGATGTATATTAAATATGCGGTTAGGGACAGACGTTCATGGTTATTGGCGCTGCGGGCGAGCTCCCGAAGCCACCTGAAAAACCGATTGTTTTTCTTGAGGGTGAGCGTCTCGGTATGCATGTGATTTAAGGGTTGTAATGATCGCTTTTGCGTAGACATGGACGAGTCGGAAATCGCAGAAGCCGTACGTTTTTTGTATCTGCGCTCGTGTGGATTACTCAGGCTTTTGTTCTTGCAGCTCTCTTTACCAGTTGGATTGAAAAAGTAGGTGCTACAGCAATCCACAGTGTACCGTGAAGTGACGAGTATATTCTCGCAGTCTCGGAAATACATGCTACATGAACGCCACCGTCCAAGCGATGCGTGCAATACCAGAACTTCAGACAGCTCTCTCAACGTATGCCTCTATTTCTTACATACGTGGCTCGTGATCCCATGTCTCATAGGTCACCACATTTGGATGTCCTACCTCGTGCACTGAGAGACTTGTACAGCAACATGTCTCGTACGACGGAGGGATATATCCCTAACTCGTTTTTGACCGTATTGCGTCAGATTGTGCCTCAGTTTGGGGAGGTTGATAGATCAGGCAAGAATGGAATCTTAGGGGGGTACGCGCAGCAAGGCAAGTGTTTTTCTGCCGTCTTTTTGGTTGGGTCGTTGACTTAAGGTATAGACGCTGAGGAGTGTTGGACGCAGCTTGCGAATGGCTTGAAAGAGGTTCCTGGGATCGATGCTACGGGTAATACAACAGCGGGGGGGAGGAGATTCGTCGATCAGTTTATGATGGCAGAGATACGCAGAGAGTGATCCGGATTTTCCCTTTTTTGCTCAGCTTCAGCTGACTGATTCGGACAGATTGAAATGCGACGAAGCGCCTGAAGAACCTAGCACTGTCACGATAGAAAAGGTGCTGAAAGTCGAGTGCAATATTTCGGCGACAACGAATTATATGCATACTGGTATCAAGGATGTATGCATGTTTTTTGTGCTTGGGTTGGTCTTTGCTTATACGTATGCAGGCACTGAACTCTCAATTGGATAAGAACTCTCCTTCGCTTGGACGTCAAGCAGTTTACAGCCAGACATCGCGTCTATCGCGTCTACCGAGTTACCTGACGGTGCACATGGTTCGTTTTGCATGGAGACGCGATATCGGAAAGAAGGCTAAGATCATGGTGAGCATGAATTATTTCTGATTCTGCCTCACGTCTCACGGTCCCTTAGCGCAAAGTGAAGTTTGCGTCAGAGTTTGATGCGTTGGAAATAGTGACCGATGAACTGAAATCGAAGCTCACGCCGGTGTCCAGCCGCCTAAAGTCTATTGAGAAAGAGCGTGCCGAGCGGCGGAAGGTGCGTAAACGGACGAAAGTGGCGCAGGAGGCGTCGTCGTCATCTAGGCCCGCAGAGGAGAGTGCGGATGTTGAAATGGCGCCTGCGAGTGAGGTGGTGCCGGGGGACCTGGAGGAGGAGAGCGTATATCGTGCGCGGGAACTGCAGGAGCTGGAGGGATTGGCTGATGCTGACTTGAAGAATGATTTTGGGTGCAGCGTGACTGGGTTGTATGATCTTGTTGGTGGGTGTCGCTGTGATTTTGCTTGGGGATAATCTGAATTTTGGAATTTTGGACAGCCATCGTTACGCACAAGGGAGCAGACGCTGATGCGGGGCATTATATCGGTTTCGTGAAGAAGAGCGTATTCCATGCGAAGTCAGGTGATGGACGTGCGTTTGATGAAGACGATGAAGATTGGTACAAATTTGATGATGACAAGGTGTCGGTGTTTCCCAAGGAGAAGCTGGGGACGATTGATGGAGGAGGGGAGGACGCATCTGCCTATGTGCTTTTGTACAGGAGTAAGCCGTTAGCATAGTGTTCGATAAATGACGGTGCGTAGGTATAATGCAAGAAGAATACAATGAATCTAAGTACTACGATTCGCATCATCACCATCCAGGTCGTGTGCACCATCTAGGTCGTTTGCGGAGGGAACGGCGGCTGATGCTGCAGCGCCTGCAGCGGCGTAGCCTTGTGATTGTGGCACGACGTCCCTTTGAGTAGATGAGATTCAGATCACAAATATGAAAAATAAGACGAACCACTTGATTTGAAAGCGGGTGACGCGTAGTTTTGTGCTTATATCGCGTACGAGTCTATCAAACTGGATTTTCTCCGGAGGAGTGGCTTTCATGTCCTCATTATCGTACTCTGTGTTCTGATAGTACCCAACGCGTACAAACTCTTGATCACGATAGGATCCTGTGAGGATAAGAGCAGCGACGCCCAGGACGTCCTCTGTTGGTATTTTCGCGGGATCAGGAGCGAGACCCTCGAACTCGAAAGAGTTTACGCCGACTGGGACTGGACCTACGAGGCAGTCGTCTAGTTCTTGGTCTAATTCTTCATTCCCTGGTGAGGATACATAGATGAGCTTCCATTCTAGATCTATATGTGAAAAAGTTATTAGCAGGTGAAAGCTACGAATGAAGTATTATGCTGACCGTCTTTGAGAGGCGCTATGCACTCAAAAGTGACGCGAAAGTGGTAAGGATCCAAAAATCTTGCTGGATTGTTAAAGAACTCGACATTCTACGGATTCGTTGACGATTTTCAGTGATTTTTTGGTAGTGAATTAGACGCACGCGGATTGTAACTATCGACATCGTGGAAGAAGATGATGCGGGGTAAGGCACGTGGTTTGCATGCGGTGTCACTCTGCTTTTGTTTCTTCGAAGCCACTCATGTCTTACTGACAGTCAACTGCGACTACGACACCGACCACGACGACCACGACGACCACGACAGCGAGGGTGGGGTTGAATATGACGTCGGCGATGAGTAACGCGACGACTGACTCAGAGATACCCACAGACGAACTCGCACCAGCAAATCTCTTGCTCCCAATTCCCGCACCTTCTTTAAACAATTCACAGTCTTCGTTCTCATTCTCCCGTGCATCAGATACAGAATGGAACTCGCTCCCACAGGAAGTAGCATCTGCAGACATTTCAATAGCTCGTATGTTCTTTATTTGTCGTTGGTCCGCATGCCTCTAATCTTTCACCAGCTGATGGCAGCTTCGTTGAGACTTCATCTGGTTCAGCTGCCAGAGAATTAAAGAGGCGCTACGATCAATTTCTTGGTGTAGGTAAAGATGTCCGTTCTCCATACGCCATCACCGCCTTCGTCAATCAGCACGGAAAGCAGATGTATCGTGTCAGGTGCGGTTACTCCTGTGTCATCGCCACCATGCACAGCTAATTTCGTTACTTACTTATTTAAAGTCGTCGCGATGCAGTCGCTCCCGCTGCTGCTGCAGAGGAAGCAGGGCAAATGACTCACAAGGTGTCCATGTCCGCTGATGCCTCTCGTACTCGTGCCTCCAAAACCCGTTCCCGCATGAGTTTTCTCACCCAGAATAAAGTAAAGTTCACCGCCCATGAATCTCAGTCTAGTTCCACGACCACGCAGCCGCGTAAGTTAGTACGAAGGACCCGCTCTATTCCAGACATGTTCGGCATGGCTGCTAGCTCGTCCGTTGCAGGCCCATCCACACAACCCACCTTCACTGGTAGGACTCATTCACACAGTGTCACTGGTGCAGATATTCCGCGTCCACAGCCAACTGCGCTTTTCTCTGATTCGCCAAAACAGCCTGTCGCAGACATTTTTGCGGAAGTCATGCAATGGCCAAACGGCTCCGTACTCGCCTCTCCATTTTCGAGTTCTGAGTCCGAAAACAACGTTTTACCAGGTCTCATCCCACATCCATTTGGACTCAGCACTACTTTTGAATCGCCCACTAGACCTTCTTCTCATGGTTTTTTACCCATGCCGCGCGCATTACGGGAGATGCAGTCGTTTGAGTCCGGTTTGACTGCGCGCGCAGGAGATACCACACAACGAACAGATACCCCTGATTCCATCCTCCCTCTCCGTGTCTCACCCGACCTCGTCCAAGATTATTCCCCCTCCCCACCCCCAGGCATCGTCCCACCTGACCCAGAACTCATTCCACTGCCAGAAACGAGCATGCATTCCCGATATTCAACAGAGGTGTTCGATGTTCTCCAGACTTACCGCGGTCTTCCACAGCTGGATAGACTGTTTTCAGATTCTGCAGGGGAGACGACTATCAAAATGTCTCTTCGCGCAGAGGATAGCGCCGCACCCCGTAATGACCCCCGGTTTGTCCTCTGGGGGGAAATACACGTTTCTTCTGATTTGGATGGTGATGATGTCTCGGTGTCGCAGAGCAGCCGTGGTGGAATGTCTTCTCCTTCTAATTCTCGCAGGGGCCGGGGGCCTATAGATGTGCCTGTAGTGCGTGTCGACGGGGAAGGCGTGACCACCAAGGTGCTCATCGCAGCGACAATCGAACGATGGATCGCCCAGCTGACAAGCGATCTTGATTACGACGAACTACTCAACTTCTTCCTCACCTACCGAACATACATATCTGCTGTCGACCTCTGCCACCTCCTCATCTGTCGTTTTCATTGGGCGTTGAGTGGTAAAGATGATATGATACGGAAAATCGTGCGCGTGCGGACGTTCGTGGCTATCCGATACTGGCTATTAACGTT